AAAAATAAATTCATCCCAAGTCGTTTACTTGTTGCACATTCAAAGAAAATTTTGGGTCTAAATGAAGTAACGGAGATTTTAAATTTAGAATATTCCCGTAAATGTTTTAGTTACACTTATAAATTTAGAAATATTACGAAACTCTTCTGAAAACAAACACTTTGAATAATGGCAGAATCTTAATTAACTGTTGTAAATAAAAAATAAAAGTATTATGCTTGCATCTATTTCATACCTACCAACTTTTTCGCTATTTTTATCAAAATATTTAGAAAAACAGCAACTTTTATGAATTAAGAACCCCCTCGGGGTCTGATCAGGGGTAAGCTAATTCCTGTAACTTAAGTGTTCAGAGCAACCCGGCAGGATTGGTAATTACCAAGACGGCCAGGTCTCTAGTACTTTAATTTAAAGTACTTTTTTAGTACTTTAACAGAGCCACACTTACACAAATACACACATTCTCACATTCCTTTAACTCGCCCCCCTTTGTATGTATTCCCAAACTGTAAATATTTATTAGTGTTTATTTTCCCATTGTACTTTAATTTTACCTTTTTTCATGTACTTTTTAATTACTTTTAAATTTGTTATTACATAATAATGGCAAAAAAAGCTTTTTTTTTCTCTCAAGAACTCCATTTTGCTCCCCAAACTTTATTTTTGTCATGTATGTTTCTTAGTCTAATTTCAGGATGAATGGGAAAAGGGTCGTATGGCCTCAGACACCTAGTTCCACTACAACAAACGAATTTATGAATTAAGATTTAATAAATTTAATTTTAAATGTTTTTTTGCACCACTACACACAAACAAATAAAACATACGATTTATTGTGTGGTATAATTTTGTTTGTAGGCAAAGTCAAACTTTTTAAGTTTACCCTTATTCATTAATCTGGAAACCCATGACCAGGGGTGCCAACTTGCTCCGCTCTGTAAAATAGTATTTTCTAGTGGTAGCGAAATTTAAGTTACTTTTAGTTTAATATTTTTCATTTCAAGTAATTTTTTCACCACTAAATACCAAAAATTATGTGTACCATATAAAATGCAACGTTAAAGCAACAATCTACTGGTTACTCCACTAAAAAGTAGGCGTAACTATCCATCACTAACGAATTTTACTATATAATTTGCTACCACTTTATTAAAACTATTCCAGAAAGCGGAGCGGTTGGCATCCCTGCATGACTATCGCATAGCAGCAATATCATTTATAACTAAAATTTTAAAACTACCACTCTTAATGTTAAACTTTTGTTATTAATATTTTAATTCTTACTATTTTTTCAAGTTGATTATTCATCCTGGTTAAAAATAATCAAAATGGTTTTCTTTTAAACGGAAAGAGAACTATGATTTAAGGTAAAAAAGATTCTAATTTCAGTTCTCAATCACTGGTATCCCTTAAAGCTTATCGAAAAGTAAATCTTCTATTTTAAATACAGAAAGAACTAAATAAAATTTTACTCTGGGCTATTAAGTCACCGCTTAATCGTAAATCCTGTTTTGCTCAGCTCATTTTAAATGCAGGACTGCCCAACTTTCGACGCTTTTTGTAATAGTTAATTCTAGTGGTGGCTATGTTTAGGTTTAAACTATTATTTTACATTCATTTAAGCTATTTTTCCACTCCAATACACATAAATGATTCAAAAGTTCATATGTAATTCCACTTTGTTCCAGCTCTATCAAGGGGAAGCTTTAGATATGTTGGCAAATAATTATGAAAGATTTGGGTTTCAAATGCTTAACACCTTATAATATATTTTACAAGAAGCGTAGGAGACGTCAAACCTGTAAAAATATGTTTGCTTTTTTTTTTTAAAGTGGTACAAAAAGTGTTTTATTTATAGGATTTTATTTTGCAGAAGTAAGATAATTCTGTCAACCTCAAAATAACATAAATTTCTATTTTGGTTATTGATACAATAAGCAGTCGTTTTGCGTGTGTGCTCAATTCAGTCTTATAAACTTTTGTCAAGTAAAAGAACAGATAGCAAATTTCAGATAAAGACAGCCCGAACACGAAGATACATCTAGGGCGGTGTTTCCCAAACTAAAGACTGTTGTGTACCCTTTCTAAATTTTTCGTAACTTCGTGTACCACTAATAAAAAAATGAGTGTATTTTTTACTATAAAAAAATTGCACAGAAGTTAAAAATCACAACTAGCTGTTGACACCCCCAATTATTAACTGTTAACTCTGCAAAAAAAAAGCCAATAGAAAAATTCGTAATCGTAAATTTTCATGGCTTTGCTTTTAAATAAAAAATTTTTAAATTTTCGTTAGTTGATCGATATTTCGCATAAGAACGCGTACCCCCGCTAAACTGTTCCCGTACCCCTGGTAGTACACTTTGGGAATCACTGATCTAGGGTAACAGTGGGATTCGAACCCACTAGCACCGTTCTACATTCAGTGCATGGTGGGTGATTCCTCTCTGACAGAGAAGCCCAAATATTTGTAATTGGATCCGAAGATAAAAACATATTGTATAAACACAGAAAGAAATACCCACTAGGTAAAAACAAATATGTACTATCAGATTTTCAGATAAAAGTTTTTCGTATATAAACGCATTTATGGGTTAGTATTAAAGATACGAGTTCCAAATTTAGTAGTTTTCCGCTATAACAACAAAAGTATTTTTGATATAAATATATTTTTTTACTTTGCTGTTCATATGATTGTTCATATCATATGATTAAATTGCTGTTCATATGACGAAAAACGGCAAAATGAATGATTTTATTTATGTCTAGTATCAATTAATGTAAGTGAAAAACGAACATCATTTCGCCGTATTTTCTTCTTTCAATCTTATTCCGATAATCCTTTATGTTCATAAAGCAAATATATCTTGATTACTTTCTAAGATATCATTGGTAGAAGGTAATCCAGATACATATGTTAATAAAGCAAATATATCTAGATTACCTTCTGCTAATGTTATCTTCTTTCTTATTAACACGTTGAATGCCATGGGGGGTCACCGGTGACCGGCGAAGCCAAGATTAGTATTAACACATAATTCGAATAAATTTTTAATTTTTTTATATTATTATTGTTACTAAAATGGTTTGAAAAAATTAATACAATATAGAAGACACAAAAATAGTTTTTCTTATATTCACAGAGATGCCAACTTGCTGTGGACAGCGAATAAATATTTTCAAGTAGTAGTTTATTAATTGTGATTCTTGGTTCAATAAATTCAATTTAGTAGATTTTTATCCACCACTATTTCTAAACAATTTGTAGGCTTATATAATTCACTGCTTTTTTTAGGTAAGTCATGCTTAACCTCTTAAAAAATTAGCAAAATTAGTTTATAGTTATTAACCGTGGAAAATTAGCCTAGCATTCAACGTGTTAAAGAAATAAGTCCTGACACACACTTCAAACAGGCGTGTCTTTTTTTTTACTTTTATCTACCTTAATTTCTCACTTTGACTAACTATTGAAATCAACATTCAGTGTTATCGGTGACATCACAAACTATTGCACACAGTTATACTCTACCTTTTTAATTACTATTTTAACATTATAATGCGTGCAGATTCTTACAACGACTTTACCAACTGCTATTGCAGATTGTCAACACAACGGACTTTTATTGTATACATACTACGAAAACTCATGCTAAATCCTCGAAAGATCAGTCACAAAAAGTTTTCTGTGCAAAAAAAAAATACCTTAAGAAAAAATAAAGCGCATACCTGCCAACTTACACTTTTTCCGAGAACGGTTTATCTAAATGGTAGTAAAGCAATTACCGAAAAACAATCTTATTCGAAATTATATTTTTATTTTAACGAGCTTGAAATTTCAGTTAATATTATTATATTTTATATTTGTTGAAATTATATTTATATAGTGGTGGTCTAAGTCATTTATGATTAATATTATAATTCTAAAAGTTTAAGGGAAATAACATGAGTTTAGCTACCACTTTACCTAAGAAAATAAAATCTTCGGGAAAAAAAATAAGCTTAATGAGTTAGTTCGAAACTGTGAAAATAGAAAGTGTCAAATCTCCTAATTATAGCCACGATTTTATTTGTAACTTTTAAGTGGTAACGAAATATATTTATTAATATTTTTTATCTTCATTTAGCAAAGTTGAATTATAATGATTTCGACCATCACTGCATATATATCTCAAATTAATATACAAAATTCCTAACAATATTCTTTAAAATTATTAAATGTTCTTATAAATTCCTGCTTACAATTGTAAATTTAAATGCTATATAGAAATAGCAAAGACTTTTAATCAGAAAGTGAAGAAAATGACAGATATTATATAATTTTTCATAGCAAATGGATATTTATTTCTGTTAAATTTAAAAAAAGCATCATGCTTTCCAAAATATGAATCTTTATACCATTAATCTAGCAGGGCGAACAAAACTAGCTTGTTATTTAAAAATAAATATTAGTAATAAAACATTTATTCATTGCGTTTGACAAAAGGCACTGCACCCGTAAGAAAGCTAAGCACAAATAGATAAACATTTGGTGCACACATTGAAAAGTACAAAAAAAAGACAAATTATTACTGTTTCGATTTTAATATTTATTGCATAAAATTATTTTAAGAATCATAGCAATTTGAAATGGTTTTAAATGTTCAATTAAAGTGGTAAATAACAGAAGAAAATATTCACCAATTTTAAATTTGCAGTTAAATTGCTAAAGATAGAAATAAAAAATTACGTAGTTGTAACATATTTTAGCCTAAATTTACCACTTCTAACAGTATACATGCCTTTTATTTCTTAAATATCTTATGGTATTTCCTCTAGAAGTAAGTTTAAAAATTAAAAAGTTTTTCTTAGTCTGAGTTTTAAATAAGAAAAGATAACACATATTGGATACGTAATACTTCCATCTGTTTTATCGAATTTTAGAAGAGACTTCTTATGTTTACGAATAAATCATTATTATAAATTGTTAATAAATAAGAATTTGTGAACAAAAATAAACATACCAGATTTTCCAACTTCTTGAGCCCCTAAAACCAAAATTCTTATACAAGGAGGAGGAGATTTTTGCATCATTTTGCAAAAAAGTAAAAAGGTCTATAAAAAAGTCGCACTATTACAGTCAATAACTTCCACGGAAGAATGTAACGAACTATTTCACAATACGTTGCCACTAAACAACCAAATATTATCCTTCAAAGAAATATACAGCATTGACACAATGTGGAAAAATTATCGTCAGCACGAAACGAGGGAATAATCGTCTGCAGCGAACGATGATAAACAGCTGACTGAAATGATCTCCGGATTGTGAGAAGATGAAGATGAGGATGAAGAAGGGATGGAGAGAGGAGAGGTAGGGTGTAAAGGCGACTTCATGGCGCGTGCTTCTGGTGTCGGGCCAGACGTCGCCCTCGACATCTCTTCCCACGTCGGTTAAGGCTGCGAGTGAAACAGAGAGGCCTTTGTGATCGACCCCGAATCGATTCTTCAGAATCGTCTGCCGTTGGTCATTTCGAAGTAAAGTGAAGCGAGACGAGAATCGTTTGTTTAATTTTGCTGGCGACTATAATACTTATGAGTTAAGCGTCTATGATTGATTGCAGGCGACAAATATCGTTATGATTTTTTTTCATTCCCATATATTCTTATATATTATTTTCCCCATTAATAAAAAGCTATCAACTAATGGGAATCTGATCTCAACAAATAATCTGTATCCGATGAAATATTAGAGAGCTTCAAGGTTAAAGTTGAATATAGAGCCTTTTGAAAAAAAGAAAAATATGTATTTTTTAAAGCAAATTATATTTTTCTTATGCATGTTATATTTTGGGAAAAAGATTTGTTTATTTTGGGAGAGCGTTTCATTTAACTTTATCACAGACTTATTGTTAATTTCAAGCTAGGGTGATGAAATAATTATCTAATAAACTGTGAATGTTTTGAGAACTATAATTTGTCGTCTCTAAATTCAGTTATTGAAAGAGGTAATATAGAAAACTATATTAAGTATTTTGATAGCTGCTTTTTTTATCTCTTTCACATTAAATATAAAGATAAGTTATTTAAATAGAAACATTGAATAATTTAGGTTTGTTATTCTTCTTAAATAACTGATTAAACCTCAATTGATAAACAAAATGATAAACCATTCAAAACACTTAGTTAAACATTTACTTCCACTTGTTTTATTTTTACTACTTTTAGAACTGTCTCACATTTGCTCATCGTTGTCCAAAAAACCTACGAATTCTTTTTACTGAAAAATAAAAATTGGTATAAAAACGATTTTGTTGTTATTTTTGAAAATGAAGAAACAAAAAATGCCTGTTTACCCATATATATTATTAGTATAAAATTTCTAATTTTATCATATTAATCATCAATGCACCCATCGTTCGTTCGTTCGTTTTAATGGAACTGGGCGTCTGAGGCCTTTCGGCCCTTTCTATGCACACAGCGTGAGGGGGAACATGTTCGTTTAAAAAATAATAATAAAAAGCGGTAGCTTATTTACAGATCAGGTTTGCCACGGTCTGGAAAGAATTTAAAAAATGGTGACAATGGTTTTAAGAAACTATTGCAAATTTTACTTTAATTTCAAATCAATTTTAGGAATTCAGTTTGTCAGTTGTAACACAAATATTTAATTTTCGAATATTTTTAATCAATGATAATCAGTTAAAATATTTTGATTCTTTGATATTTTGCTACCACTTTTTACATTTTTCTGAAAAGTGGCAACCCTGCCACTGCCGGCACCCAGATGCTCCAACTACTAGGAAATTTCCGGAGCTTCAGAAAATATTTTTCATAGTGGTAGCAAGAGTAGTGTATTTATAATTTTATGAATTAGAAAAGAATTAGGCCCACCATTAAGCACAAATACGGGACTGCCAACTTTCTACTCTTTTTGTAAAAAATTATTCTAATAACATCTAAATTTATCTTTTAATGCATTATTGTATTATAATGTTACATGTAATGTTTAATGTACTATAATGTTATATGTAATGTTCAATGTATTATAATGTTATATGTAATGTTTAATGTAGTATAATGTTATACGAATTTATTCATTTGAACTTATTTTCCACAGTACTACACATAAATAGTTTAAAAGTTCGCATGTTACGTCATTTGGTTCCAGCTCTATCGCAGTGAGGCTTTTAAAATGTTGCCAAAATTAGCAAAAGTTCTTTGGTTTTTAAATGTCTATCACTTTATAAAATACTTTGTAAAAAGTGTAGCAATCGATAATCCTGCAAATAATTTAAACAGATAAATATAAAACCAAATAGACGAATACTTAATCCACTTCCTTTATAAAAGAACCTTCTGCATAACTGTAAAATGAGGAGTGCACATTCGCGATCAGATATTTCCTGTAAACCTCGTATTATTCTCTGCTTAGAAAATTTTAATAAAAGTTTTTTTGCCCACCATTACGTATAAACAATTCAACAGTTCATAGAAAATGCACATTTCCGTAAAATATCTCATAATGATCTTATGTAAACGTTTAAAAAAATCTAAATGTCTGCAAGTTTCAGTTTTTAACACTTTATCACTTTCAAAAAACTTTGCAGAAAGCGTAGCAGTTGGTTTCCCTGTGAAAATATCTTTATATGGATCTTAAAGCACATTAGACTGCGATTTTTAAAAAAAACTAAAGTATTAATGAGAAAATATTTACTTTTAATTAATATCCATTTTTTCATGAAGGTAGTTACCCTTCTCAACAGAGAATTGCAAATATATAACTATGGAATATTAATTTTAAAAAAAATCGAAACAAACTTAAAAAAATAGCCATTTAATTTAAGCTTCATTGAATTTTCACTTTTTTATCATAGCATTACAATATTAAAATGCCAGATGTTAATAATTTAAGACCACAAATCATATAAATGCTTACAAAATTGAATGATTTATCACGTATTCTGCTTAACCGGTTAACGCCCAGCGTCATATATATAGGACAGTTCCTTTTTTCAAAGACATTCATTGTGGCGGGAAACTTTTTTCAGCATTTTCATTTATCTGGGTGAATTAAAAGATTCTCAGATACCACAATGACTCAGTTATTTCTGATTAGATCTAGAATTATAAGGAACAAGTACTTTTTGATCTATCAATGACTTTTTGAATGCCCTAACAGTAGAAAAACCAATTAATTTCGATAATATATTCTACCACTTTATCCATAAAACCACTTTTTGTATCATTTCAATAAATAAATTCGGGACAAAACGGGTTAAACTGTTTATAATACAAAATATTTGGATACTATCACTTGATTTACACTGCGACTGCGATAAATCGCCAAATCCTCTAACCACATATTTTCACTTATGGTTCCATTTACGCTTTGCATTCAAATCGCGTGATGTTGTAATTTATTTTTTTCCAATTCAAACATTGAAAAAAAAAATTTGCAGGTTTTTAATCTACCGAGGAGAAAGGAAGATGTCGTTTCGTTTTTCCAGGAAAAAGAGGTACTACCTCGCTATCGAATATGTTTACTATTACAGAAGTTGAATAGTTTGAAAAAATANGATTAGAAGAGGCATCAATAACGTTTTTACGAAACTTAACGAACATTTGAAGCAAAAAAATATTGGAGTAAGTTGTGCAGCGCACATTCTATACCTATACTATTCAAATAGCATCTGACTTACTTCCAGTTGATGTTGAAAATATTTTTGCAAACATTTATTCGTATTTTTATATATATATTGTGCGTGTTGAAAGTTTGACTAAATTGTAATTCTCATTTCATCCCATATTTGTCCCGCTTTGTCTCAAAAAAATGTGGTCACTTTAATCTTAAAGCACATTAGACTGCGATTTTTTAAAAAACTAAAGCTGAAAATTAATGAGAAAATATCTACTTTTAATTAATATCCATTTTTTATGAAGGTAGTTACCCTTCTCAACAGAGAATTGCAAATATATAATTATGGAATATTAATAAAAAAAAATCGAAACAAACTTAAAAAAATAGCCATTTAATTTAAGATTCATTGAATTTTCACTTTTATAGCATTACAATATTAAAATGTCAGGTGTTAATAAGTCAAGACGACAAATCATATAAATACTTACAAAATTGACTGATTTATCACGTATTCTGTTTAAACAGTTTATAATACAAAATTTTTGGGTACTATTACTTGATTTTCAAGGCTACTGCGATAAATTGCCAAATCCTGTTGAAAAAACAGCCAAAAGTAGCCAAACTAAGAGTAACCACACACTTTCATTTATGGTTCCATTTAGGCTTTGCATTCAAATCGCGTGATGTTGTAATTTATTTTTTTCCAACTCAAACATTGAAAAAAAATTTTTGCAGGTTTTTAATCTACCGAGGAGAAAGGAAGATGTCGTTTCGTTTTTCCAGGAAAAAGAGGTACTACCTCGCTATCGAATATGTTTACTATTACAGAAGTTGAATAGTTTGAAAAAATAAATAGATTTACTCCACCCAAAAACTAGTTATATTTAAAATGGTTCTACTGACTGCTTCTCCTTTTTCCCGACTAACTTTCAGCCCTGGAGTTAAATTTAAACTAATTTTATTGGTATATCATAAATTCAACAGAAGAAATGGTTGATACAGACTTTCCTGTCCCTCCCGAATAAAGAGGTAACAGAGAAATATTCCTACTACCACTATATATTTTTTTACAGATTGCAACTGCTGCTCTGTTAACCCATGAAAGACCCAAGTTTCCATTAGCTTTTTTCAAATTGAAAAAATTGCTGAATCAATTATTACATTTTTGATGATAGTTTTTAAAAAAAATCGTAATCACCATTATGTATTAATATCATTAACATCTACATTAGTTGAAAAAAAATATGGAAACTCTTCTATTTTAACTCTATGTAGGCAATTTTTTTTGTAAGCAATATTTCAGCAACAAATGTTTTGGAAGAATTTACATGGCTAAATTTTAGGCACAGTTTGAAAGATCCTTTTTGTGGGATTTAGACATGAGGTCCTCTTTACATAATTTGCATAAACCAAAGTGAGTTTAGAATGTTAAATTATTCCTTCCTTTTTCAATGTCACTATAATTAAAGAAGCATTCTAATATAAATATTGCAATCCTTGGAATGACTGCAAACTAGCTGGTATTAAAACTAAAAAAAGAGTCATTGACTTCCTTTCCTCAATTGGATCTAACCAAATTTTGCATGAATAAAAAGGACACCGACTTTCTTGAAAGATTCATTCAAATTGTGCCATGAAAAATCTTCAAAAACATTTTCTGCTTAGAGAAAGATTGTATATATAGAGTTAGTATAGAAGCGTTTCCATATTTCTGTCCCACTCCTGTTTCGTCTCTATTAAATATCTGGATATTCTATTATCTATGAAAGCGGAAGTCTGTATATTCTCT